TTTTTCAGGTTTAGGAATTAAGGTGATGCAGGCTTTATATAAGGAGTTTGGGAGGATTCCCTCCATTTCAGTTGTTTTGAATAGCTTGAGAAGAATTGGAGTTAGTTCTTTAAATGTCTGGTAGAATTCAGCAGTGAAGCCATGCAGTCCTGGGCTTTTCTTTTTTGGGAGTGTCTTTTAATTACTCATTCCTGGTTTGTTTAGATTTTCTAAACAATTTAGGTAGGTTTATGTGTCCAGGAATCTATCCATTTCTTCTAGGTTTCCTGATTTGCTGGCATACAGCTCTTTGTAATTTCTTTTGATTCTTTTTATTTCTGTGGTATCTCTTGTTACCTTCTCTTTTTCATTTCTAATTTTATTGATTTGGGACTTCTCTCTCTCTTTTTTCAGTTAGTTGAGCCAGTGGTGTGTCAATTTTGTTTATTTTTTTTTAAAAAAACTAGCTCTTTGTTTTGTTGATCATTTGTATTTTTTGTTTCAATTTTGTTTATTCTCTAATTTTAATTATTTCCTTTCTTCTACTAATTTTGGGTTTGGTTTGCTATTGTTTTTGTAGGTTCTTGAGATGCATTGATAACTTGTTTATTTGGTGCCTTTCCAATTTCTTGATGTAGGTACCAATTGCTGCAAACTTTCCTCTTAACACTGCTTTTGCTGTATCCCATAAGTTTTGATATGTTGTATTGTCATCTTCATTTGTTTCCAGAAATTTTTTGATTTCTTTTTTGATTTCTTATATGACCCACTGTTCATTCAGGAGCATGTTCAGTCTCCATGTGTGTGCGTATGTTCTAGAGATTCTTGAGTTGCTAATTTCCAGCTTAATTCCATTCTTCCGAGATGATGCATGGTATAATTTAGATTTTTTTTGAATTCGCTGAGACTTGCTTTATGGCCTAGCATGTGGTCTATCCTAGAGCAAATTCCACACACTGATGAGAAGAATGTATATTCTGCCATTGTGGGGTGAAAAGTTCTGTAGATATCTATTAGGTCCATTTGGTCTATAGTGTTGATTAACTCTGTTGTTTCTTTGCTGATTTTCTGTCTGGTTGATCTGTCCGTTGCTGAATGTGGGGTATTGAAGTCCCTGTAACTATTGTATTGGAGGCTGTGTCTCCTTTTAGATCCATTAACATTTCTTCTTAATGGCCAGGTACCCTGTAATTGGGTGTGTATATGATTATTATAGTCACATCTCCCTGTTGTATTGATCCCTTAATGATTACATAGTGTCTTTTTTATTTTGTTTATTTTTTAAAAATTTTATTTATTTATTTGACAGGCAGAATTACAGTGAGGCAGAGGCAGAGGTAGAAATCTTTACTAAGTAAAGATTTTACTAAGTAAAGATTTCAACAGTTTGCATCCACACAGATACACAAAGTATAAAGTGCTGTTTGAGTACTAGCTTTACCGTTAATTCGCATAGTACAACACATTAAGGACAGAGATCCTACATGGGGAGTAAGTGAACAGTGACTCCCGTTGTTGATTTAACAATCAACACTTTTTTTTTTGACAGGCAGAGTTAGAGAGAGAGAGAGAGACAGAGAGAAAGGTCTTCCTTTTCTGTTGGTTCATCCCCTAAATGGCTGCTGTGGCCTGTGCACTGCAGCCGGCATGCTGCGCTGATCTGAAGCCAGGAGCCAGGTGCTTCCTCCTGGTCTCCCATGCGGGTTCAGGGCCCAAGGACCTGGGCCATCCTCCACTACCTTCCCGGGCCATAGCAGAGAGCTGTACTGGAAGAGGAGCAACCAGGACAGAATCTGGTGCCCCAACCGGGACTAGAACCCGGGGTGCCTGTGCCACATGTGGAGGGTTAGCCAAGTGAGCCGCGGCGCTGGCCAACACTCTTATTTATGATGTCAGTAATCACCCAAGGCTCTTGTCATGAGCGCCAAGGCTATAGAAAACTCTTGAATTCACAAACTCCAACCTTATTTAGTCAAGGTCGTACACATTTTAGAATCTTTTCTTTATGTTTTACTATGGAGAGTTTGACTACAGTGTGTCATGGTGAAGATCTTTTCTGGTCATGTCTATTAGGAGTTCTATGTGCTTCCTGTACTTGGATGTCCTTTCTTTCTCTAAATTAGGGACATTTTCTGTAATGATTTCACTAAAAAGGCTTTTTAATCCATTCTCTTTTCATGTCTTTGGAATTCCTAAGACCTGTATGTTGGGTCATTTAATAGTCCATAAATCTCCTACACTCTTTTTTAGTTTTCTGATTTCTTCTTTTTTTTTTTTTTTTGATCTGACTGTAAAATTTCTAGAGATTTGTCTTCTAACTTGGATATTCTTTCTTCTGCCTCACAGAGTCTGTTTTGAAGGCTTTCCACCACATTTTTATTTGATCTATTGAATTCTTCATTTCTAATATTTCATTTTGATTTCTCTTTAAAATCTAAATTTCATGGGAAATATTTTTATTCATGTCAAGTGTGGATTTCTTTAATTCATGGATTTGCCTCTGATTACTTGTGAGTAATTCTATGATCAATTTTTTGAATTCTGTTTCCGGTGTTTCTTTAATCTCTTTATCTTCTTGTTCTAGTACTGATAGGGATGTCATGTTGTCTTCCTTATTCTTATTTCTTGAATTTCTGCATTTATTTTTAGGCATTTGTTGGAGATACTTCTTAGTTTATTTTTTTTCCTTGTGATGGCCTTTATCTTTGAACTATGCCTCTGTGGCTTAATGGAGTATCTGCTCATTCAGTGAATATCCAGAGGTATGAGCTGATTGTGACCAGCGAGCCCTGCTCAGTGCTCCAGGGTGCAGGGAGTGTCCAAGGTGACATTGAAGTTGGGTGTGTTAAATCTCCCCCTTTTTTTTTAAAATCAGAGGGCAGGTTTGATGAGCTCTGTTGGCTTAGTTTTGTGCTTACTCCCTCTCCTCCAAGGAAATCAATGCCTGGGTGCTAGCTGCAGTGGGTACAACATTCATCCATGCTGCCATAAGAGCCACACAAATGATCTGTGCAGTCCTCAGTGTGATCCTGTAGCAGTGACCCTCACCAGGGAATCAGGGAGCCCCGAGCGTGTGGAGCTGCCTACAGTGACTGCCCAAAGACCCAGCCATACTCTGTGCCCTCACATGCAGCCACAGTGTTTTCACAGTCTATTCCAGCACATAGGGCTCTCACAGTCATGAGTGCCCAGCCCCTGTCAGTTCTCCTAGCCAGACTTAGACACCTCCTCTCGTCTGGTTGCTGGAGGCAGACACAAGGTGCACAGTTGTTATGTATGTTCAAAATGGCACCCTCCCTCTCTCAGTTGGTTACAGGATGTTGGTGCTGGGTGGTTGGGGAGAGCAAAATGTGTCCTCCCGTTTTTTCTCCTTTAGTTTGACAGGTACACTGTCCCCCACAGGGCTCCAAACCAGATTCACACCAGGCTCTTCCTGCAGCTTTCCTAACATTTTTAAATGAAATTTTTAAATACGCAAAAAACATGAAAAAATGTCATAGCAATCAAGCCTATCCCTATCACTTAGTAGCTACCATTCTCATTCTACTGTACTTGCTCTATAATACTTCTGCCCATATTCCTGTCTTTCTGTCCATTCACTAATTCATCTTACTTTTTGATGTATTCCAATGTATTTGCAGACATCAGTACTGCTCTCTCTAAATTGTTGTTGTTTACCATTTTATTGGTGATAACATTTCTTACATTTTCCTCGTATTCTTAACCATATTGATAGCTTTATAGCTGCTTCTGTTACTGGAAAATCTCCCCATGAGCTATTTGTGGACAAAACTTATTTGCAAAAATTAGAATGTATTTTTAGGATTTCAGCTTTCATATGAAAATAATTAAAAATCAGACATAGTACATGTGTATTGCTGAGTCACTACAAACATTGGCTTCAAACATCAGCAAACTTTTATTCCTATGGTTTCTGTGGGTGAAGTGTTTGGGAGCAACATAGCTGGGCATTTCTGATTTTGGATTTTGGGTCTCATGAGGTTGCTATCAAGATGTCAGCCAGGGCTGAAGGCTTCACTTGGGCTGGGGGACCCTCTGTGGGGGTGGCTTAAGCTCTCATCTGTAACATGGTTGGTGATAGTTTGTGGGAGGCCCCAGTTTCTCCCCATGGCCTCTCCACAGGCATCACTAGTGCTGTCATCATGTAACAGCTGGCCTCCTGCAGAGTGAGTAGTGAGAGAGATACAGAGACACATGTAGAAGCTATTCTCTTTGTGACATGGCCTCATTCTACGCTTTAGATGCAAGTCACTAAGTCTGGAGAGTTAGGCTCTTATTTTTTGAAGGGAGGAAGGTCAGAGAATTTTTGGATATATTTTAAAATCAAGTAGTATAGCTCATGTTGGGTTTGAATCTCTGCTGGTGACCTGCAGTAACTTCCTTAACCCCTCTGGCCCCTGTTTCCTTGTATGTGAAATGGTTTTAACAAAATGACCCACCTGTAGGATTATTGTGATGTGTAAACTGCTTAGCATGGCTTCTGGCCTGCTAATGCTGGGAGGTGAGATTTCTGTTGGTGGTGTTAGGAAAAGTAGCAGCAGCATCACCCTTACCTATCTATGCCACACGATGAGCAAGGGCCAGGAAGAGAATGCATCCCAGAAGAGCCAGAGAGAGTATGGTAAAAGAACAGGCCTTGTGCAAATGTACCTTTTCCTGGCTGGCTGCCTCAGATGGGAGAGCATGGTTAAGAATGTTGAAGGATGTTAGATGTTCTGAGCCAGAGAGAAGAGATTTGTAACTGGACTAGGAAATGGCAAGATGACTGCTGATGACAGAGGCTCATGGTGTGTGGCCCCCCATTCCCAGGGCCCTGCCCTGTCCTTCAAGAACAAACTATGGGACATTAAAAGAGGGAAAACAAATGATTTGACTTGGATGCCTAGGAGGGGCAAATTTTTCAACATTGCAATTACTTTAGACAATATTCTATACTTAATTTTTTTTCTTAACTTGTAAATAAAGCATTCTGGATTCTGTCATCTCTTCTTTCTCCCCAGATACCCCTGAACAGTGCAGATGAGATGTATGAGCTACGTGTAACTGGACGTGCCCAGAATGAGATTTTATTCTCTAATAGTACCCGCTTATCATTTGAGACCAAGAGAATATCTGTCTTCATTCAAACAGACAAGGCCCTGTACAAGCCAGCACAAGAAGTGAAGTTTCGGGTTGTTACACTCTTCTCAGATTTCAAGCCTTACAAAACTTCTCTAAACATTCTACTTAAGGTAAGTGCCAAACAGACGGGAAGCAGGGCATCCAAGCCATCTTCCTAGAAAGCTCTCTTGGACAGTTCTGCTCCTGTTACAGACGCTGGAACATCTTAGAATGCACCAAAGGTGAGTTCCCTTCTTTCTAGGAAAGGAGGTGGCAGAGCACCGCGGTAAGAGCCCGGGCTCCGAAGTTTCCCAGTTTGAGTTCCAGTCCTGGATTCTTCACTGATGTATTCGTTGCTCAGACATTTAGTGACCTTATGTGTTCCAGGCATTGGGATAAGACGGGGAACAGAACAGATCCCAGCCCTTGCTCACATTAAGTTTATTTTTCAGAGGGTATTGAGGAGACGGACAATAAATGAATACACAAATATATGTTTACTTACATTCATATTCATATATCCAGGGGTGTGTGTGTGTGTGTGTGTGTAAGTGAGAGAGAGAGAGAGAGAGAGAGAGAGAGAGAAAGAAAGAAAGAGAAAGAGTGAGACAGTGAGTTTTGGTTTGATATTTTCTGTAGGGATGTCAGGAAAGACCTGAGCAGAGACCTCAAAGAAGTATAAGAATGAACCCACACAAACAGGGAGCAGAGTGCACAAAGGTCCTGAGGTGTGTGCTCATCTGGAGCATTCAAGGAACAGCAGGCTGGCAGTGCATTGGAGCCCAGGGAGTGAGGGGACAAATATCAGGAAATGAGGTCAGATACAGGTAGGTAGGCTGGGAGTTGGGCTCATAATGAGTCTGGGTGACCAAGGTATAGACTTCAAGTTTGACAAGGAGTGTAATGGGAATTCATTGGAGAATTTTGATGGGCAGCATGATGTGATCTGACTTAACATCCTAAAAGAATCACTGTCGAGTCTAAGAGGAATAATTACAAGCTGTGTGACCTTGAGGAAATTAACTTTATCTGTAAAATGTGTAAGTGTGTAACAGTAATAGCTCACGGAAGTTTTGTGAAGCTTGAGATAATTCAGTTAAAACATTTAGAACCATGCCTGGTGCATGATACCTGCTCACTGGACACTGGCTATCATGATTGCAGTGACTTCCTTTGACAGGGCGTCACTTGGCTTCTGCTGCTTGACCATCCTGATGATTTGGAGGCAGCCATTTAGCAGACCGGGTGTTTCCTCAGGAGAATCAAGACCAAGAGAAATTGAGCATTACATCAAAATAGGGTGATTAACTCATCCCAGTTTACCTGGGATACCCCTGATTGTAAAACTGAAAGTCCCTGGTCCTGGTGACTTCCTCCACCCTGGGACATGGGGTACCCTAATTGTTCCAAGGAATGCACTATGTAGAAGGTAAACCTACGCTTTTAGCTTGGTGTTTTCCTATTATTCTTAGTTTCTTTGGTGTTATGAATGAATGAAAACAACAGTAAGAACAAAATCCAATCAATCAAACAGGTACACACATAGCTTCAAGCTAAGGCATATTTGTAGTAAATACCACATAGGCTGGCATGGTGCTTAGGGTTTGTTTCTTCAGTCTAACTGGTATTCTTGCAGCTCTGTGAATTTCTGCCTTATGTAATAGGATGTCTATGGGGAAGGTTGACATAGTGGATAGCGTTTCTGAATTCCTGTGATTCTGAGTGGGGGTGAACTGACTTCATTCACACCATCCTTCATCTTACTCACTTATACCGAGAACTTACTCTGTGTCACGCACTGTGTAAGGTAGATGATTTACAACTAGATGTCTGTCTGTCTCTAGATGTTCACATTTAATCCTCCTTTCTATCTCAGACAAATAGAAGTTATTGCTGGGTTGATTGCCTATTTTAAACCTTAAACCCAGAACTAACCTTGCTGATTTGGACAGCTTGTTTGTGCATTTTTATAAATCTTGCCTTTGCTCAACTCTGGTATCTGCCTTTGAAACCTGCAATTTGTAGTTGTTTTGGGTTCTTTTGTCCAATTTTGGACTTAGCCTGCCACATTTGGCTGTTATGGAAAGACTCAGTAAGACCTTCTTTTGCTAGCTCTGGACTGAGGGATCCTACTGGCCTGGCCAACATGAGGCCCTCCTGGCCAGAAGAAGGGAACAGGGAATGAAGGGCGGCCATACATCCTCTCTGTACCTGGGCGGTGAAGCTCGGAATTGGACCCTGGCCTAGCCAACTCCATCTTGCAACTTCCTGAGGCCAGGCCAGACCATTGATGTGAATGTCACACTGTTGTACTCTTGTAGCTGAAAACAGTCTTTTGGGCTAGGGTTCGCTAGGCTGTAGCGTTTTCTAACATCTTTCAGTGTGGAATAATTGGTTTCTTGGCAAAATTTCCCCCCCAAAAATGAGACTTGTGGAACTAGAGCCCCTGACTAAGATAAAATTGTGCTTCTACACAGCACTGCCTTTGGGCTAATAAGGAGAAGTGCATCTGCGCACTGACAGGCCAGCTTTTTGGGCCCCATTGATGGCTGTGGAATGTAGCTAATGTTGAATGTCACAGCAGACTCAGGGATGCTCTTTTTTGGGGGGTGGGGTGGGATGAGAGAGTATCATTGGTCCTATCCATTTTTCCTGCCCTAGTAATTGACCATCTCAGGAGGAAAGGGATTTCAGAGGCTTTATGGCAGTGGAAAAAACCCTATGTGCTCTCTGCAGCCCTCATTCTGGCCTCCTCCAGCCAATGTGGCCTAACCCTCTGGAAACATGTGCTTCTGATGCTGTGATGACAGATGGTATGGCTGGCTTCTCCCTTCTCTCTTCCTTTAAAAAATTGTTGTTCCTGGTGCAGGGGAATGACTTTGTATGGAACAGATGTTATTGACCAGGGGTGCTATATCTTGTGACTGTGACCTGACTCTCTGGCCTGGAGCAGCAGTGACAAACTCAGAACTTCAGCCCTGGCCAGCTAAGGTGCCTCCTCGTTCTAGTTCTGCATGCCATAGACACTTACTTCCTACCTAATCCAGGACTCGGGAAATAGTCCTTGTGGACCCGTTCTGCAGGCAGCAGATTTAGTGCTCACGATAGTCTGGCAAAGGTAGCAGGTACTGTGCTATGGCAGGCAAGTGACAGAGAGCCAGAGCCATCCAGAAGTGACCCAGAGGGCACAGGCATCCAGTACCGCAGTGTTGAGAGCACACAGTTAGCTGCTGTCTTGTGCGTGTCCCAGCAGGAGATGACCCCGTCCGAATGCTGGGTTCCACTGTGAGGAGCCTGCGCACGATCTCTCCACGTGCTGCTGCGCTCTGGAAGGGCGCCTGATGTTTCTGCATTCTCTCTGTCTTCCTTGTTGGTGACAGTAAGGCCCAGGCCCAGGCCAGCCTTAGGAAACACAGGGATCGTCTCATTCTCTCCCATTCCTCCAGATCCCCCAGGTGCAAAGTCACCCAGGATGTCAGGTCAGACTCCTTCGATTTGAAGGGCCGTGCAGCTGTGTGCGAGAAGTGGGCGCTTTGAGCACAGTAATCCATCAGCAGAACGTGGGCATGCCCTATCCCTGCACTTTGGGTCACCCCAAGAGTTACGGATATTATTACTATTTTTTTGTTTTTGTCAGGCTGACACAAGAAAGGCAGTATTTCATTGTTTTCATTTGCAGTCCCCTAGTGACTTGACAGCATATATTTATTAGCCATTTGTAGTTCTTCCTTTGTTCTGGATCCTTGAAACTCTATGGCTTCCCATGCATCATGCTGTGGCAGGCGGTGTAGAGCCAGCTGCTGGTTACAATGCCTGACCCAGGAGTTTGCTAAGGATACTGTGACCTGTGTATTCTAACCAGCATCTGGTTGCTAGATTTTTTAATAGTAATCATTGTCTCTGACTTACTTGACTACTCCCAATTCAGTTCTCAGCATTATGCTTGCTCCCAGCTTTCACACCCTCTTCTAGGAGAGAGGCTTCTTTTGGCTTCTAATAACTGGGCCAACTCGCTCCTTCCTGTCAAAGGACATAGGATAGAGAATAAGAGTAAGGGAAAGTATTAGATCCCAGCTCTCAAAAGTTTAGAATCTAGTTGGGAATCAAAACCTTTTTAGTGTGTGTGAAATAAAATATGTAAAAGAAACACATGGTGCTTAATATGGGTGAACTCCAAGTGCAGGAGGAGTTCTCCAGGAAGTGGTCACTTCTGCCTGTTTTTAGGCAGGTGTAGAAAGCAGAAACTGGAGCTCATTTCCCGAGTGGGCAAGGAAGGGAGGACATTCCAGGCAGCAATTGCAAGAGGCTACTGCATGGGATTTTTGGGTGAACTGCAAACAAGTCTGTATTTTTGGGGAAGGATGAATCTAGAAATGTTGATGGGGTCAGATTGCTAATGACCTTGTAAACTGTGCAAAGGAGGGTAGACTTTCCATAGGCAAACAAAAGTCATCGTGTCATAGTAGAGTAGTGTAATGATTGTAACCTGTTTATTCATTGCTTGTTCTAAGCCAGGAACTGTGCCCAGTGTTTCAGCCACTGTGCCTCATTCTCAAGTGTGTGTTCCAGATGGGTCACAGCGTGGGCAGGGGCAGGTGGAGAGATGTGTCAGAGGCTGTGAGACTGGGGGTGCAGGTCAGTTATATTCATTAGAGAACGGGGTATGTGCTAGATGTGAAGAAGACAAGAAGCAGACAAGATGGAGAGAGGAAATGAGACAGAGGTGACAGGGCTGGGAATGTGAGCTAGGAATCTGAGATGGCTGCTGTGATGGCTTGGATGAATGCTGCAGGAAGGAATAGTGGCCTGGAGGTGATGGGAAGACTGTGGTATTGATTAACATGCCTCAGTGTACTTTGTTGAGTTAAAAGATAGTCAGATAGTCATGGATTTGAATCCTGAGTTCCATCACATACTAGTGCCATAAAATTGGGTCATGCCAGTTACATACAATTGAGTGCTCACCAGGATTTAATTTTTTCAACTATCAAGTGAGAATACTCCTATCCTGAAGGAGAATTAGGGGTAGAGGTAAGGCAGAGGGCTTGACGCATAGTGGGCCTTTAATAACTGGTCTTTGTAGTGGGATTTTTTACCATCACCATTGCTGCCATAGGTCTGAAGGTGCACTTGTTGTATTTTATGTAGAAAAAAATATGGTGACATGTATTAAAAGGTTGGGCAGAATCAAGATATTTTTGGAATAAATGTGAGGAACAAATTTGTATTTTTCTTCTGAAGTAGTCCAGGCCAGACATTTCCCCAAAACTATCTTAGTGCCATATTTTGTAGCAAGTTCTGGAAGAAGTGCCTGAGTTTGCTGCAAAGCATTTTTTTTTTTTTTTGACAGGCAGGAGTGGAGAGTGAGAGAGACAGAGAGAAAGGTCTTCCTTTGCTGGTGGTTCACCCTCCAATGGCCGCCGTGGCCGGCGCGCTGCAACCAGCGCACCGCGCCGATCCGATGGCAGGAGCCAGGTACTTATCCTGGTCTCCCATGGGGTGCAGGGCCCAAGCACTTGGGCCATCCTCCACTGCACTTCCGGGCCATAGCAGAGAGCTGGCCTGGAAGAGGGGCAACCGGGACAGAATCCGGTGCCCCAACCGGGACTAGAACCCGGTGTGCCGGCGCCGCAAGGCGGAGGATTAGCCTAGTGAGCCGCGGCGCCGGCCAGCATCTTTCTTAACCAGACAGGAGTCACATATATGTGGGCAGCCTTTTGTAACACATAGAGTTGACATGTCTGGTTTCCATTTCAGGACCCCAAGTCCAATTTGATCCAACAGTGGTTGTCGCAGCAAAATGATCTTGGAGTGGTTTCTAAAACTTTCCAGTTATCTTCCCATCCAATAGTTGGTGATTGGTCCATTCAAGTTCAAGTGAATGTGAGTATGATTGCATATTTTTTTGGAATATTAAAATGATTTTAATACGCCAGGTGGGGAAATAGCTCCAAAACCACTTATTCAATGAACAGAGAAAAATGAATATGAACGTCTAGACAATTTAAGAGGCTTATTTTTAAGTTGCTGTTTATCGATGGCTTAACCTTCATTGTAGCCTATTAAAGTTTTAATAATTTTTATCTTTTTCTGTAATATAATGTTTGAAGTTTAAAACATTTTGGCATATTGGTATAAAACTAGGTATTTACTTATTTATTGTTTACATTGAGTGTTTTAAAACTAAGTGATGAGTGCATAGGTATTAATTGGCAAGCTCCATATCTCAGAACGATGGCTCCAGGTTGGATTAACTTACTTGGTCTTTGTTTTAAGAAACAGTGACTTTAAAAAGGCACATCACCATCTGTTCCTCATCCTTCCTTCTCCCTAACTCCTGTACTGACTTTAATAATTTTTTAAAGATTTATTTATTTTTTATTTGAAGGCAGAGTTACAGAGAGGCAGAGGCAGAGAGAGACAGAAAGAGAGAGAGAAGAGCGAGAGAGAGAGAGAGGTCTTCCATCTGCTAGTTCACTCCCCAGATAGCCACAATGGCTGGAGCTTCGCTGATCCAAAGCCAGGAGCCAGGAGCCTTCTCCAGGTCTCCCATGCGGGTGCAGGAGACTTAGGCCATCTCCCATGCGGGTGCAAGGACTTAGGCCATCTCCCACTGCTTTCCCAGGCCATAGCAGAGAGCAGATTGGAAGTGGAGCAGCCAGGACTTGAACCGGTGCCGATTTGGGATGCCAACACCACAGGTGACGGCTTTACTCGCTGCACCACAGCTCCGGCCCCTCCTACACTGACTTTATTTGCTGCCAACTTGCATAGCTTTGAAGTCTAGGAGGGCAGGGCCATTGTCAGGTGCTCCTTCTCTCTGTGCCCAGGCTTTTCATCTCTGTACTTACTCCTGAGTGATAATCAAAAAGTCATTGAATGTTTTCCTGCTTTTCTCTGAAATTAATTATATATATATTCGTTGATAAGAGATTTAAATATAATTCTGTTTAGAACAGGGCTTCTCAGTATTGATATTTTGGATAAAAACTCCTTGTTGTGGCTGCTGTCCTGATCTTTGGAGGTGCTTAGCAGCATCTCTGACCTCTACCCACAAGATGCCAGTAGTAGTTTCCCCTCTTCCTATGTTGCGACAATCCAGACTCTCCCCAGACATTGCCAGCTGTGCCCTGGGGCACACACCCTCCTCCTGTTCTTCTGAGAACCACTATATGAGAAGGAATAGTCATACACGAGTATAAGACCTGAGAGAAGGTACAAGTACCAGGACTTCAGATGTACCCTGCTTTGTTACCAGCATTGCCGCTGCAGTTCTATAAACAATAGATTCTGTTAAACTCCGTTTCTGGATGAGGGCGATGAAGCTTGGAGAAGTTTAGCAGCTAGGCACTGGAAAGTGAAGAAGCAGCATTTGCACTTTGGTCACCGATGCCAAAGCCCAGGCTCCCAACTGACCCCATGACCCCAAGTTCATAACAGGGATGCCTGGAGTCTGGGTTAGAAGATATAAACGCTGTAAGACGTAGTAAACCCTAATTTAATTTCACAGCAGCCTCTCTTAGGTCAGTTTAAAATACGATAAATTACTAGGTTATACATATGAAATTGTGATTTTTGTAGGCCAGAAGTGCCAAATATCAACATTTAAAAAATGTTTTAACCTAATAGACAACTTTCCTACAGATGAATATGTGTCATTGATAATAGAAGCCTTGGCAAACAAATGGAAATATATAAAGGAACAAGCCAGGTGAAGAACTTAGCTTATTTTTTGAAATATTGAAACATTTAATATTCTTGATTCTTTATGTAGTCTTACTTTTGCTCTATAAATTTGAGTCTTCATCATTAAAAAGGAGGATATTGGGGTAAACCTCTGGCCTGGTGGTTATGATGCTCACATCCTGGCTTCAATAACCAGTTCCAGCTCCTGATTTGAGCTTCCTGGTACTTCTGACCCCAGCGATGACGTCTGAAGTGGTTTTGTTCCTGATGCAGGCCTGTGTTGGAGACCTGGACTGAGTTCTGACACCCAGCTTCCACCCCAGCTGAGGGCTGTTGTGGACATGTGGGGAATGAGGCAGTGGAAAGGAGCTTTTCCTTAGTCTAGCTGTCTCTGGCTTTCACATCAATAAATGCAAAATAAAAAAGGAAGGATATTGATTTTGACCCATGCTATGCCATGGATGAATCTTGGAATATTTTTGTGAATGAAAGGACAAATCCTGGGAGATTCTACACATTTGAGATATGAGAGTACGCGGAGTAGTCAGAATTGTGGAAGCAGAAAGTAGAGTGATGCTTGCTGGGACTGTGGCAGGGGGAAACAGAGTGGTTAAATTTCAGGATTTTTAAAAAAAGATTATTTATTTGAAAGTCAGAGTTATAGGGAAGGAGGGGCAGAGGCAGGGAGAGAGAGAAAAAGAGAGAGAGAAAGAGAATGAGAGATATCTTCCATCTGCTGGTTCACTTCCCAAATGGCTGCAATGGTCAGGACTGGGCCAGGCGAAAGCCAGGACCCAGGAGCTTCATCCGGGTTTCCCGTGTGATTGCAGGGGCCCAAGCACTTGGAACATATGCTACTGTTTTCCCAGGCACATTAGCAGGGAGCTGGATTGGAAGAGGAGCAGCCAGGACATGAACCGGCACCCATATGGGATGCCAGCACTGCAGGCAGTGGCTTTTCCTGCTGTGCCACAGTGCCGGACCCTAAATTTGAGTTTTAAATTTCAGTTGTCAAATTTCAGTTTTGCAAAATGTGCAACAACTCTTGAGAACTTGTTCAACAATGTGAAAATGTTTAGCACTGCTGAACAGTATGCTTAAGAATGGTGTACATTTTATGTGCTATATATTTAACTACAATTAGAAAAGTAATAGGAATTAGGGCCGTTATTGTGGTGTAGGGGGTAAAGCTACTGCCTGCAACATTGGCATCCCATATGCACGGTGGTTGGAGTCCTGGCTGTTCCACTTCTCATCCAGTTCCCTGCTAATGCACCTGGGAAAAGCAGCAGAGATGGCCTGAATGTTTGGGCCCCTGCAGCCACATGAGAGACCTGGATGGAGTTCCTGGCATCTGGCTTCATCCTGGCCTAGCCCTGACTGTTGTGGCCAGTTGGGGGGTGAACCAGCAAATGGAAGATCTCTCCCTATCCATCCTCCTTCTATAATTCTGCCTTTCAAATCAATCAATCAATCAGTCTTGGAAGAAAGTAATAGGACTTAACTCTATGCGATATAAATTGGTCATTAAGTGTATGACATATAAGCATTTATATTTCTTTGTAATATATTTTTATGACACACAAATATATAATATATGATGAATCTTCATTTCAGTTTTCATGAACTTTTGGAAACACCTTCACCTACCTTTAAACTTTTTTTTTTTAAGTTTTTTAAAAAATTTATTTGAAAGGGAGAAGAGAGAGATATCGTCCATCTGCTGGTTCAATCCCTAAATGGCATGGAACTCCCTCTGAGTCTCCCATGTGGGTGTCAGGGACTCAAGCACTTGGGTCGTCTTCTACTGCTTTCCCAGGCTCATTAGCAGGGAGTTGGATCAGAAGTGGAGCAGCTGGGACTCAGACTGGCATTCATACGGGATGCCAGTGTCGTAGGTGGTGGCTTAACCTGCTCTGCCATGACACCAGCCCCTACTTTAAGTTTCTTAAGCTCCGAGATTGTCTCATTTCAGAGTCTTTCCTTAAGTTGGGTCCCTGCCTGGAATGCTATTTTTTCTGCTGTTACTCTAGCTACTTATTTTTACTCTTTACATTCTCATGGCACTCGGTGCTCCTCTTGGTTTCCATGTCACTTTTCATTGGTGTAGCTGATTGAATGTTCTGGTTGTAAAGATGGTGACCTTTGGTTTGCTCACCTCTATTTGTGGGACCTAGCTCAGTACCTTGCACATAGAGGAAAGTCTTTATTAAATGAATGTACAAAAGTTATCATTTGTGTTTAAGCAGCATTTTTCATGTTTTCAATTTTATAAACCATCTTTAACATTTGAACATGAGAATACTGATCAAATACTTATTATTGATAGAATGTTAAGTTGAGACACATAGCAAAGAAAAAGCAAGGTCCTTTAAAAATAAGTCATATAAGCAACTGACTGAACACCAAAAAGGAAACCTCCTGAAGTGAAATGGACACTATGAGAAATGGTGACTTGATCAGCATAGCCCTGACTGCTAATGGACAACTTAATACATTATCCCTCATAGTATTTTTTTTGTCTGTTCTACTTAATATGACTGGTTTAATTCTGTAATTATCACACAGTTATTCTTAAGTGTTGAAAATTAACTGAAATGTGATCCCTGTTAAACATAAGAGTGGGAATAAGAGAAGGAAGAGATGTATAATTTGGGGCATGCTTGGGCTGACTTGCCCCAATTGGTAGAGTTGGAAACATACCAGGGGATTCCAATTCAATCCCATCAAGGTGGCATGTGCCAATGCCATCTCACTATTCCAAGTGATCAATTTCAGTTCACAATTGATCATAATGAAAGGACTAAGAGTCAAAAGGAGCACATAAACAAGTCTAGTATCTGCTAACACTAACCGATAGAATAAATAAAGGGGAGAGTGATCCAACATGGGAAGTGAGATATTCAGCAGACTCATAGAATGGCGGATGTCCTAAATAGCACTCTGGCCTCAGAATCAGCCCTAAAGGCACTCGGATCTGGCTGAAAAGCCCATGAGAATATTTCAGGCATGGAAAGCCAAGACACTCTGGCAAAAAGATCTCTGTGAGTGAGATCCCAGTGGAAAGAACAGGTCTTCAAAGAGGGAGGTGCCTTTCTCTGAAGGGAGGAGAGAACCTCCACTTTGACTATGACCTTGTCTAAACAAGATAAGAGTCGGAGAACTCAAGGGGCTTCCATAGCCTTGGAAACTCATGA